TTAGTAGGTCAGATATAGATACTATTAAATTTTCTCTTTCAGAATAAAACATATATGTGGATTGTTGTGTAGTTATAATCATTTGGTGATAAGTGAGTTATTTAATTTGTGTTTAATAATTAATACGATATGTATTGATGCATAGTTTTGAGAGTAGAAATGTTCAGTACAATCAAAAGTCGATAATATGAATAAAAAATGATTTATTAATGTACTTGAAATGGTATGAATTCAGGAAATGAGCGTAAATAAATCCTTATTAACAGGCAGAACACTGACATTTAGTGTAATTAAGCAGGATGTAATCTTTGAGTAATTATTAGTAATAACAAAATGTTGTTAAACATAGTAACAGCAAGGTAAAATAAATGTAGGCAATAGAAACATTATTTTTATTAAGGAAACTAATAATAGTTTTGTTGTTGATGGCTTGAATATTCCTTATGAAGATAGGTAAGGAAATTATTATTGAGAAAGAAAGACTCAGCATGATAAGATAAAATGTTGAATTTGTGATGAAATGTAATCAGGAAGATAGAAACAAACCATTTGGGGGCAAAAGGTCTATAGAGAAGATTGAAGGGAATTAGATGGCTGTGAAGAAGGAAAAGAATGAGATATTAAGACTATGGTAGAAGAAGAGGTTGTACCAGTTTCAGCTGAACACATAATTCTGCTTTTTCCAGATGTATGGTATTGCTTCGGCAATGTTTACAAGATACAATATAACTGCCTTTGGTAGCCTTCTACTTACTTTGTAGATGACTTTGAATTCAGAGTCCGCTTTTGGTTGAGTGATCTGCGTTCACAAGGTGTTCGAATATTCAGCTTCTTATTGAGCTGCTTCTGCCTCTTTAGCCAGGCCGAGTAAAGTTTTTGAAATTTTTCTGAATAAAGTACCATGGAACGACCCACATACTTGACTACACATGAACATGGAAACTGATAAATATATATAGAGTTGGTCGAATAAGACAATCAAACCTTAAAATTAATGATGGACATTGATCGGCTGAAGAACACTATTCTCAAAGATTCTGTGAAGAATGTGTACTGAATAGAGAATACTTTGCTAAACCAACCTTTTTCATTCTATGTCTCAGTTGGTATATTCCTTTTAATAATAATAATTATAATTCATTGTTTGTAAATAGTATTGAATTATTATCAATTTGACAGTGTTAGTGAAAAATCTATATTGTTATGAACTTTTGTTTGTCTTATTTTAGTTGTTGTGTTGGGATTCTATTTTGCTAAAATCAACCAGAAAATGTTATCTACATCATGTATCTAATACTCTTGACAACAAGGTTTTAGATTTTATTTGAGACAATTGGCAAATCACATGTACAGTTAAGTGTATTTTATATAGTTGAAGGAAATCGGTAGTAGTCCCTGTCTAAGTCTTGTAGTCGTTGGAGTTTATCATCAGGGCGTATGTGTAATCTTACGGAAACTAATCCTCTCTAAAGGTTTAAAATCAAGTGTTGTTAAGTATCCTAATCAAATACGTTATCATTGAACTGTTTGAAGAACTGAGATATTTACTCTTTTTGAGTACTCAGTTGTAACCAGTCTTCATGAAGAATCAGTTTCTGGAAGTTTACTGGCAGGTGTCTAACAGCATGAAACCCAATAAATCACCATTCAAACAAAGTCAACCAAATGTTATGTCACCAAACTGATAGTATATAATGGAGTTCGAACAAAATTAAAGTTCAGATAAGCACAAAATTGATTACTACTTAGTGATTGATCAACATAAATGTATTCGTAATATATTTCAAAAGTCATATCTATAAGAATTTTGTTCGAAAATAAGTATATCGGTGCATTTATTCTCAGTCTCTTTACCGACTTTCAGTTAGCAAATAAGTAAGGTTCATTGACAATCAGTGTAGTTAAATATCCGAATCTGAATACACTTCTAGCAACATACTGCTGAAAGGAAGTAAAGTCTTTACAAGTGTAATTTTCAGACATCTCGATAGTGGACATGATATGAATGCAAGTATTGTAATGAAATTAAGCAACAGATAACAATGATCGATTTTGCTTCGTTTTTGCAGAGGCGATCGCTATCAAAAGTTTTCGACCTGAGCTATGTATACAGAAGAAAATTGTGTTTAGGCTTTCCTTGCCACAGTGATTCGGGGTTTCACCTAATAACCTTTATTCATTCTAACTTCTACTTTTTTAACCCTGTTCTGATTCCGTTTTCTAATATTCATCCCTTACATCGTCATACTGAGGTTCATTTCTTCAATTTGAGTAATTAACCAATCATTTATTAATTTCATTACCTTTACATAGCCTCTTTTATCCTAATTATGATTACTGACACTAAGGTTTATTGAAGCCTTAATCATAAGAAAATTCAAACCCACTACATATATTCAAAAACAGTTTGTTCTCATCCTAAACCTACCCTAGTAAAATTAGCGCATTATCCAGCATGACGAGTTTTCACATTATTTTCTTTATCATCTTTGTCTCCTCTTACATCTCCATTTGTTTAGCTGACCTATTTCTGAATATAATCGTTCTTAAGAAGTGTAGTATATGTGATCAGATTGTTCGAAATGCATTGTGTTAATAAATCACATAGTTCTGATAATCTTCGTTTCCTTATTATACTACACAGAATACTGATAACTAGAACACATTTTCTACTCTAAATTATTACTTCCCAACACAGTACTACATATTGGTCTTAATTATGTTCATTTACACACTTTGTATCCCTACTCTTCTTATTTTTATGATTTTGGTTACGTTTCGAACATTTATTTCAACTTCACAAATTAAAGTATGTTAAACATTTACTATTGATCAATAGGACGAAACGGCCGTCCAGTGCTTCCAGGTTTTCTACGGTGGTCTAGCTTCAATTGACTTATGATCTCAACTATTGAAATTACTACGATCTCCACAAAACCGCTTCTGATATTATTAACTGTAATTTTGCGTTGAATGCAGCTGACAGAAAAACTGTGAAATAAAATGAATCGATCAAAAGAACCATGTTCTATTTAAATCGAGTTATCGAAATGAAAAAAAGGATACTAGATTTATTCACAACAGTTTGCTATGAATGTTTTAACAACACCCCTGTCTCCGAAGACATACTGGATAAAAAAATACAGACATTTTAAAAGTGAGAGTTTGAAATGAAGAATTTTATGAAAATTCTTGAGAGTGTTTCGTTGAAAAAGTTGGATAACTGTGATGGAACTGATCATTCAAATATATAGAAGTCAGATTGGGTGATAAATTAAAGGATGACATTGGATGATTTGTTCCGTTAATAGGTGACTTATTGTTCAGAATGTTAGGTAATCGTTTATTCTTGAAATAATAATTTATTATCTTTTTTGTCTAAATAAAAACTTGTTTTGATGGATGTTTCAATGTATAAATTCGTACATTGTTTTCTGGTATTCATTCATTGGACTAGTAAACTTGAATTTTAAAATTAGTCACCACTCGACTACACTAGTAATATCAAGACACTTTTTATCCATGATCATATTGTATTTCTCCTTCATAACAATAAATCCATAAACTTATCTATGAATAATAAATGATCATTCATTTGATACTTTTTACACTAACTTTCTATCAAACGAAACCTGAGTAGGTCCAGTATTTAGATTTTAAAATTTAGATAAAGAAATTCTGGGTTAAATGTTTTTTCTCAGTTCGTTTACCGTGTTTAAGTAATGTGAAAACATTAACTCCAAGTTCGTTGAATAGATTTCAGAAGTGGCTAATTTGTATATGATTCATTTTGTTATTCTTTCTATGCTTTAATGTTTAACGAATACAGTATTACCTAGGAAACTGATTCCATTTTATCAGTGACAATGATTATAATGGATTGATGTGTAATATATATGAGTTGAATTCATGAGTCGATTCAAGCTATGCCACCTGAAAGTACTTGACAACCGTTACATTCTTGTATCGTACTCCTCAATCTCTACAAACTCCCATTCTAAAAATATGTAATACACAACTAGTTATAAGGAGCAAATGAATTCTCATGTTTGTTTAGAAGAAACTATTTTAAGAATTTATTATGATAATATTCATAGTTTTAAAATGAAACAGAATGTTTTTCTCATTCGTCATGTAACATGAGCCAAATTGTGTTATATGAGGCATTGTTTTTGTATCTTAACGATGGATATCTGAAATCAATTTTATTAATGATTGCTCAGTTTAGATTTACATCAAAAATGTATGAATGTTATCAGGTTACCTAACTTAAGTCAATTTTAAATAATTTATCAATGTCTATTTTAACATCTTAACACAGTAAAGAATCATTCACCATACAACGAACTTGATAATTATGGATACACCAATATACACAAACCATTGAAATTCTAGTAATACACTGTATGTAGTGAAGTTCATTCATTTTGCGAACAAGGTATTAAATAAGTCATTTTGTATTGTGAGCTGAATAAAACTTTACAAAAATGTTGATCACTGGATTTCGATTCAACTCAACATAAGATGTAAAGATATTTTATTTTAATCATTTGTAAAATTGTAATTTATTACTACAGTGGAATTCTTGACAAGGATCAAATGGCTGTAGATAACTCTATAGTTTCCATTGTTTGTTTTAGCTAATTTCTGTTTATATTGAAAATTATCATTTTTATTCATAACTATATTCAGACAGAATTAATTATTATTAAATATGATTGGTGGCTAGTAGTGGAATCCAAGACCAGGGTTTCCACCTATTCAGGACTCGTCAGCTGCATAGGATGCACATATACCAACAAGGGACTAATCATTTGTAGTCCTTAACAACAATAAGAAGATACAAGCGAATGATATCAAGTGAATTTACGAATTCATTATTATTTCATCTAGATATTACCACTTTAGTTAGTAGATAGAAAAGTACAGTCAAATAGTAATTGTAAATATTTATTTAGAAATTCAAATCAATATTGAAATATGTATACATTTTTTTAATGTTATCTTTCAATTAATGAAAATATTATGTAATGCAAATGCTCATGAAGGTAACCAAGAGGTTTCAGACAGGTAATATCGTTTTCTAGAAATAATTAATAATGACAAAAGAATAGAATAATAGTTAACATAAAATAGTATATTTTATGATATAATAAAACTATTTATATACAAATAAATTATTTCACAAATACAAAAATACTGCAATAATAAAATCGGTCAGATATGATTTTAAAAGTAATTAATTTATTTTAACACTTGAATTTACAAGTCGAGGGTGATTCGAGTCTCATATGTTGGATCGTGTATGCATACTACTAAGGAGTCCCATACCAAGACGTAACAGTCGTTCAGTACCTTCAGGTTTTCAATGGTAATCTAGCTTAGATAGATTCATGAATTCAACTGTTGTAATTACTACAATCTCCACAAATCCACATAGTGATAATTAATTTATTCAAATGATATTGGCTAATTTCTACTTTTAAAAATTGATTTCAACTAACAAAAATATGTGAACTAATAAATCTGCTTCTTTGAATGTAGTCGTAATGTCTAACAAAAAACGATAATTTTCTAAATAACGAAAGAAAAGTTTATTGAATATAGTTAAGAAAAATTCAGGTAAATTAGATTAGGTAAATATTCTTCTTGAAGGATACTATTCATTGACACTGCATATATATATATATATATATATATATATATATATATATATATATATATAGTAGTCTGCATCAAAGCAGACAGTTATTACGTCATTAATATGACGATCGTGTTATAGCCTAAAAGTTAGTGAGAAGTATTAAGGTTAAATCTTATTTTAAATGAAAAGAGGGAAAGCATATTTTATCCCCAATGGCTATAAAGATAAAAAAAAAACAAATGAACGGATGCTACTTTTTTTTAGAGAAGTGGAGAGTTAGTAGTCTGATAAAATTAGACAATTTAGAAAAAACTCCGTACGAGTCTACGTGATAAAAGTTGACAAAATGTTCGAGAACTGCACTGTTGATTATTTCACAATTATCATTTTGAAGGAAAAATAGAGTACTAATGAGAAATGCATTTGTACAAAGCAAGTCTTGGATAACCAACTAACCTAACTCTTTGGTTTATAGCTTAAGGGCTCGTGTTCCTAGGTTCGACAGCGGATAGAGTTATGAAAAGGAATTACTCTGAAATCTCATACGAGGACCAAACAGCTGTATATTGCTTCCTTATTTTTCAGCGGTTATCTAACCACGATCAAGTAAACCATGATATATCTATCTATTTGTATATACAACTAATAGCTCAACGAATATAAGACTTGTATTACATCAAAGGAAGTTCATTCAGCATGTATATGTAGTCTGGTTATTTGAATCAACATACTTTTTGCCTATTTCAAATCCATAAGTTATTCAACATGGACATATTTTATGCTACATATCACATTATGTTTGTCCATGAAGTATCACATTTAAATAATCATTCTGATGATACTAATGACTCCTAATGATAAAACATTTGATGTATAGTTGGTAATTTATTTTCAATTTATTGGGTTTAACTAAATGTTTTCACATTGTAATTTAGAATTATGTATGGATGTAACAAACATTGAGTTATTTTACATTGTGTATATGAAATCTACTTTAAGTAATTAAGCCACATAAGGGAATTTTGTAAACACATATACCGTTGATAAGTCACAATTATTGTGAATTAAACATTTATGAAATTCTGCAAAAATATATAAGACATTAGTCTTACTAAAATTGAACAAACATCTTTAAAGGGTAGTTACTACCTATTTTGAAATTTTCGTAGTTTCATCTACATTATTTAACATTTATACTGACATTTTAAAACAATAATCGACTTGTTTATTCCCTAATATAACATAATTTAATCCTAAATAGTATAATAAAACTTGTCTTTATATCGACCGTCATTTCGTTTCATATTAAAAACTTATCAAGTTGAGATCATGAGTCCATTGAAGCTAGACCACCATGGAATGCCTGGAAGTACCAGACGGCCGTTTTGTCCTGGTATGGAACTCTGCAGCAGTGAGCATACACGGTCCCGCCTCGCGAGATTCAAACCTAAGACCAACCAGTCTCGTGCGCGAACGCTTAACCTCTAGACCACTGAGCCTGCATCCAACGTGAATACGCGCTGCTGAGGAGTCGCATAGTAGAACGAAACAGTGCTTTCATGAATTCCATGGTGGTCTAGCTTCAACTGACTCATGAATTCAACTATAAAACTACTAAGATCTCCACAAATAAAAAATACAGTTTGATGAAGATATTTCAGTAAGCTACATAATAAATGCTATTCGATTATGTAAGAATTATTATTTAGCTACAAAGTATATATGTTTGTTTTATAAATATTAAAATATTGTTATTGAGATGTTTTTTTATCATAAAAACAGTGAACTCGTAAGTGACGGCAGAGAAAAAGTACATCATACCACTTTTTAACTTCTATTGGTTCATCATAATGAAATTCTTTGACAGGAGACCAACGTTTATTGTAAAATTTAGGTCTAAATTCAAAATGAAAATTCCAAAATAGATCAAAACTAACTATTTAGATAATCTAATGTGAAGATATAGTGCATCAGAAAGGTGGGATACATTAAAACAATAAATTGTAAACTATCTGATTGAACATTAAATTGTTAAGTTATTTATATATAAAAAGTAGAGATCATCTAGATGAATTGAAAAATAGGAGAAAAACAGGTTATTAGGAAAGAAAAACAATATCAGTCATATTACTCTGCATATTAGATAAATGTTATTAAAGAAGGTTAAATAGGATTATAGATTATTATTGAACATACATATAAGATACAATAAATACAAAGGATAAATAATCATCTTCTACAACAGTATAACAGTTAAAACAAATATTGATTTTTAACTCAGCTATTTTGATTCGTTTGAAAGTTATCTAGGATGAATCGTGTAGGTTTGTTGAAGCTCTTTAGAAAGAATTTTTATATATTAAAAACCTACTCTTGTAATATTCATTAAATATCCAGAATGTTATGATTAATATTACTTTTTTTACTTCACAGTTTATATAGTTGATCTGATGCCGTTCAAAGTATGATGATCTAATGTATCATATATTTTCAATAAATCTCATCTTCCTAATGCATTATCTATATTTTTCAAAGAAAATAACTGTAGATCTGTTTTAAATGAATATTCTACAGGTTAAAATGACATAAATGTGGACGTTAATTTATTTATGTTTCATATTAGTTTTTATTTCATTGTTAGAATCACCTTAGAAATGATTTAAAGTCAGTCAATAAAGTTCAGTCATTCAGTTATGTTTTAAATTTCAAACAATTTTTTAATTAAATATAGGGTTTTGAAGATTATTGAGTTTCGTTAGAGATCATGAATTGATCGATATTAGACCATCACTGAAAACCTGGGAGAATAGATTACGCAATATCGTGGATTGGTTGAAGTTAGACATTGACATCGTTGGATGCCGGTTAAGTGGTCTAAAGATTAAGCGGTCGCGCATGAAGCCGGAGGTACTGGGTCCGAGTCTCGTGGATGAGCAATGATGAAGAGCCTCACAATAGGATGAAACAGCCGTCTAGTGCTTCCAGGATTGCCATGGTGGTCTAACTTCAATTGACTCATGATCTCAACCATTTGAAATTACTATAATATCCACAAAACCTTTCTGATATGAGTGAAATTTTTGTTGAAACATTATTTCATTAACAGAACATAAATAGATTTATCTTACCGTTTCTTCACTTCAAGTGGTCCATCATAGTGGAATTCTTTCACTGGAAACCAACGTTTATGAAACATTAAGGGCCTGAATTACAGAAAAAATATTAAAATGATATAAAGATTTTATTAAATTGATTTGGTTTACTCATTTTCATATTGACTGAATTTAGAGTTCTACCTTTGAATACCAATTCATGATGTGAATGATCAGATTCTCACATTTAGACCAAAAGTTCTGGGTACTATCACTAATGGGGTTGTAGTGAATGCAACCTTTAAATTAAACCAGACTCTACAAAATCTTTTCATTCAAACTCTTTTGAAATTAATCAGTGTAAGGGTTGAAGCTTAGGAAATATTAGGTTGCTGCCTCATTCCTATATGAGACTCTCCAACATCGTGAGTTCAAAATAATATCTCCACATTGCTTACTATGTTTTTGGTTAATTACCTGTACTTTTTTATATATTTTTAAAAGTTTATTCATTTTGAGTTATCAGGTGGTTGAAAGCAGTCAGTAAGAAATACTTTACCTAGAAGTTTTACTAGTTGACATTGGTTAACAAGATGTAACTGTAAAGTTAAGTGAACTGATGCCCCTATGGAATTCTAATATGAATAACCCAGCTTCACATAAGTATTTCTTCATCACAGAATGGTATAATTTAAAGAACTGGACATCTACTTCGTCTCATCATTAATACTTACAAACACCGGTCTGTTTGTTAGGTGAGTGTACTATATTGAACAACAGTATCATTGTATACAGGTGACATTTTTCAGCACTCTTTAACTAAGTGTAAGTATTCTGTGCAAAACGAAAAAAATCGCCTACTTCTTTAAGTGTTCTTATAAAACAGTTTGCTATTCGATAATGAAATAACAAAATAAATCACTGATTTACAAAATGAATTTATCTTCTATTGAGAATAAGCTTTAGGATTATTAACTCACTGAAATCATACATGTTACCCTGATGGAAATAATACATCTCATGGAATTCAAACCATTTCACCCAATCTCATAGTCAGTGATGTTACCTTTGAGTTATTCGAACTATAAATACTTCCTGTAGGACTAAAAGTTCACATTATTTCATTACTTTATAATAAATAATGCGATATTTAATACACGATGACGATTCAAGTCTGTCGATTAAAGTACAGAGTGTTCGTTAGTTCAGTTGCAGCTTATTATGTTTAATGTTGAACAGCTAAACATATTTGATAAGAAAGCACAAAGCAGTGTTTTGTGGCTGTTAGTAAACAAGTTTTGCGCTGACTTAACCCCCCTCCTGAACACACAATCGAACAAAACAAAATCACATGTCCATTAAAAGTATCTATAGTCACAAGTGAAGTATCCCAGAAAGAATTATGAATAGTAACTTTTGAGAACTATTTATGAACAAATATTATACGTATATTCTATTCAATAGCTATATTGTGTATATCTATACTCCTCTTATTACATGCTTTATTTTGACCTATAAACTGCTATTATACGATTTACCGTTCTTGAGTTCTGCCCAGTCTATTAATTACAGTCTCCCACATTCACAGACACTTTTGGCTAGGTCTTGTACAAATGTTGTTTACCTTTTCGCGGCGCTATATGGTCTGTTTGGTTTGTATATAAACCCATTATGTTTGAAATATTCGATTCATATTGCGGAGGCTGGGATTGGTATTCTGGGCTCAACAGGCAGGGCTAGGCAGGAAGAAGGACTGATAAAAATTCTAGACTTCTCGAACAGGTTTACGCGTCATTGGTCCGGTTGATAAATCACTGTTCTCTAATTGGCGGTATCATTACGTTATATATTAATAAGCCACAATTTATAAAAGATTGATAAATACTTTGACCAGAAAATAGAATTTATTTCACATTCATGAGATTGATTTAAGAATTCACTAAATCACTTTGAGTGGATTTTATTTTCTCCTAGTCAATATATGATTAGTAGACTCTCTGATATCTATCAGAAGAGTTTTCCAAAACGCATTAGCAAGCAAATGAATATGACCAAACTAAGAAACTTAAATACTGGTCATCATCTCAAGTGTTTTGTATGGAACAAAAGATTTACATACATGTATGTGTTAGAGTGAACTTATGATATCATAGTACAAACCACTTAAAAATTAGTAAACTTTATTACCTTTTAGTTTTCATGAATGGATATATCAGTGAAATGGCCCTAAAGTAAATCGACAGTGACCTATCTCTCATATAGTTAAATCATTTTTCATTCATTTCAAATGTAACTTAGGGAATTTATGTGAATGTCATTAAAACAACGTTGATGGTTGTTACATTCGTAATAAGTGGATTAAATGAAATAGTGAAATATGAATTGGGAAAATGTTGACTATAGTTAGAGTGTAAAACTACATTATTATTATCATAGGAGTTTGTTGAACACAATACTACTGTCTAAAAATTAATCAAAATAAACTTGGAGAGGTGAAAATCAAAAAACATAAGTTAAGCATATATTTCTTTACTAACTAATTAGAATGTAATATACGTAGGGGAAATCGTACTTCTTTTAAACTCTCTGTCACATAAAGTGTCACATCTAAATTGTTTATTATTACAATGCTTACCTGTGTAGGTCAGAAATTAGTCAAAAATATTTAAAAAAAAACATTATATAAATCACTCATCTATCTTGATAATGATCGATAAAATATTATGCATGGCTTTTAAATTAACCTTTGTTTGCTAACTTCAAGAACCAGGCTGAAATAAATGATTATGTGACATAGTTTCTCGTTCCTTTTCAAATTAAATGTAAGTAGGAACAAGAGCCAGTTGAAAATAATGCATTTCACTATGTCCATTTGACAATTTCTTGAGTTGTTTGCATAGTAACAATTCATTTTAATATGCGCATATCTCAATGACTTCTTTGGTAAGAAAAAACTTTCTGATCTCGATAAAACGGAGCGCATACAATCAATAAACTGGATAAAGTTTTTCAGCATTACTGTTAAATTCTAACATCTAAGAACATTAGAACGGACTTTCACTGAAGAAATATTTTTTGAAATATTTATTATTCTTTAAATCCACTTGGTGTTGCTTACTTGTATCTTTCCATTGTTATTTAGGACTGCAATTGATCAGTCTCTTCTTGGCATATTTGCATCCTGTGTATACTGTCTCGATATTGCCTTAGGTCACAAGCTTTATATGCAAAGATGGATAGTGGCTAGCAGTGGAATCCATCCTATTTGGAACTCGTCAGCTGAATGTACTTGCTTCTCAGAGTTGATGTTCACTCTGGGACTCGAATCCAGTACCATTTGCTTCAAACGTAAACACATTATCCACTGAGCTACTCAGTTCTTATGTTGCACAAGTGAAAAATATTTACCTAATATCTCATCTTAAATTAAGTTTGCCTAAAATTTATGATACATCATCTTTTCTCATAACTGATCTACGTTTATTTACCAAATATATGATTATTAATAAATTTTACATATAGCCAATATAAACCATATTATTATCAATGATAAAATAAATTATCATACCTCTTTTTAATCTCTAGTGGTTCATCATAATGAAATTCTTTCACAGGAAACCAACGTTTATTAAATGCATTTAATCTAAATCATGAAATTAACACAATTTTTTTGTCGGTAAATTTTACTGTGTTACTCGTTTTTAAGATTTAGAAGATCATAATGAGACAATTTCATATTATCATTGGTTCTTTCCTTAATTTTCAAAGTATAACGAAAATAAGCGGTATTGAAGTACTTGAAAATCGTTTGTTTACTATGTTTTAAACTTGTGTAAGTCATTCTACTTGAATTATTTGTAATTATATATTAACAATGTGCTTTTAACATAGTACACACTATAATGTATACATGTCAAACATAATTTATCTTTTCCAATTGTTTGAGATGGTAGTGTTGAAAAGGTTTTGTCTTCTTCTATGGTTGTTCTCTTATATGTTTTTATCCGACTTATCATAGTAGAATGAAAAGGTTCACCAAGATTTTGTCCAAAAAAGGATAAATAGTATTCGTTTAACAAATATGATTTTTCAATAGTTGAGATCATGAGTCAATTGAAGTTAGACTACCATGGAATTCATGGAAGCACTGGACGGCCGTTTCGTTCTACTGTAGGACTCCTCAGAAGTGCTCATTCAGTGCTTCCAGGTTTTCTATGTTAGTCTAGTTTCAATGGACTCATGATCTCAACTATTGAAATTATCATAACATCCACAAAAACCCCTTCAAATATGTTTTTATTTGTATCCATATCCAGATGTACAGTTTAGTATTTATTTATTCAAAGATATAAGAATGTTTCCGTTTAAATCACGAACTGGCCTTCACTCAACAATCATTGGAAACCAGAAAGCACTGAACAGCTTTTTCATTCTCATTTGAAACTTTTCAGCAGTGCACACTCATAATTAGATAAAGATCGAATTCAATCTCTTCAGCCTTCATGGCGTAAAACTCAACCTTCAAACTATTTAAGAGGCATCCGCTGAATGTTATTAACTCAAATTAATTATTAATATTTGTCTAACGCGATGCCTTGTATGGAATGTGCTTAGTCATCTTGTAAGACGATTTGGTAAACGTCACTTAATATCTCGTACACACAAGTCTATAACATAAAACAGCTTTATAATACTAATTTCTTTTACTAAGAACTAGTCGATTGTCAACATAAATATTTTCGTCACTTGGCATGAAATCATGAAAGCCAAATTTTATAGCAAATACCTATTTATCTGTATGTATATTTTTTTTTACATAAATTGCAATTATCAAACCAGTTCTGACCCATTACTGCTTTGGGACAAGTTGTTTAAAGTATATATAAACATCAATTACGTATTTTAAAATATAACAAAAGGATGACTCCTAATTATATTATATTATGTAATAACGGATTATTTACCTGGAGTTATATAATAATCCTCCATTGTATTCTTCACTGTTAATTGTTAGAAATGTTATTAAACCAATAGCTGAAAAGAATGAAATATATTTGAAATCTTTCCATGAAATTAAATGAAATGCTTGTTTATATTTGAAAAGTTCATAAAGGAAACATATAAAATTAAATGTATCTTTCGTAATAAAGACCACAGTAGACGGTGAAAATAGTTAATTTTGATAATGTTCAAACACATAATACACAGACAATTTCGTCTGTTATTAAAACATATATATATATATATATATATATATATATATATATATACTTCAACAAGAATGTTATTTTCATTTATTTAAGTTTTTTCAGCTATAAGTCAGTTTATATCTCACTCCAAAATTTGTTTTAACAGACCCAACAAAAAGTCAATGTTTTTCAATAAGATTAGCGTAATCTTAACTCTGTATGATTAATTTGTTTACTGAAAATGTCAAATATCAACCTTTGAAAACTATGGTGAAGCAGAGAGCTGTTTTATTTTATTTCGAAACTTCTAAATAGCGCGAGACCACAAACATACATTTGATTATAGTCATCGTCTTCAGATTTCTCATTAAACATCATTCTATTATATCACTTGGACATTATATAATGGACAGGAAATTGAGAGTAAAGTGTGACAACCTTAATAAAATATATGTATATAAATATATATAAATATGGATAGGTTGTTATCCGAGACTGTTTAAGAAATTTTAAAGTTAGAAATGTATACCTTTGCAGGTCAACCCAGTGGTTTTAATATTCAAAATCAGACCACGTGACATAGTAATCCTGAATTCAACATTCAGGAAGAAGTCGTTAGTACGCACTTTTCAGGATACGCATACCATAAAAAGCAGCTGTCTAACGATCCCTGATCTTCAGTGGTAACTCAAATGAGATTGGTCACTTTACGAATATCTTCAATAGATTGAAATAATTGCTATTGAACTATTTTGTTTGAGCTTTTCTTCCGATTGACATGCTTAACTTTTCCTAGAAATATTGAGTTGATAAGTTGTCACACAGAAGTTACAACTTAGATTAATTTTACCGCAACGCAGTATAACGTACTCTACACTATGCAGTTTATTCATGATTTCCGCTGAAGTGTTAGGAGGGTAAATAGTTTAGATAAACACAGACACGTGACAAGCTTAATATGTATGTAATTAATTTACCCAACACTAAAATAAAACCTGCAAAAAGTGGCAAAATTGAAGCAATCTTCACGGAATGCACCTAAACCAACTAAGACTGATCAGAGTTCATTCAAGATTATCAACAATGAGACGATTTAAATCCTTCCTAATTTTGACATGAATATCATATTTGTTACACAAGTGAATGACTATTTGAATCCAGTAGCTCAGTTTATAATGCGTTAGACGTTTGAAGTGAGAAATAATGAGTTCGAGTTCCAGAGTGATTATCAACACTGGGCTGCAGGTAAATTCATCTGGAAAGTTCTGAATAGAAAAAAAGTAAACACAATATTCCACTTATAGCCATAGTTCGTCTACTTTATAAAATATTCTGTTCTTTTAAGTGTTGGAGCAGAAATGCCTTTAGGTATGACATAAATAGGATTTGAAAACCCTAAGTTACTTTTTCCATTAAGATTAACATTTTAACATACTTCCTATTTAGGAATAATTTAAAGGAATTTAATAAGTGGAGTACAACTATCTTGCATTTGAAATTTAAACAGATGAGGTTGACCAGCTGAAGAGATCAGATTTACGGTGAAGTTACATCTAGAAAATAAATTATTCAACGTATATGGATCGTTATTTATTCATGAATTCCACTACAGATTACTGTCAATTAGAATCTCGTCGAAGAACATATGATCGTTGAGATGATTTGAGTCGAATGGTGATTTCGATCAATAATTACTATTTATTTACAAAAGGATAAGTATTTTCATTATTTACATAACAAGCAATCAGAAATGACAGAATATAACTATGTAAAGTCGTTAAACATATTTATGTGCTATCATAGTAAGTAGTTTGTCGAGACATTAATTTACAGAAGTTTACTCAACCTCTTTTACTATTTCTGTAATCATCCGTTTATATGAATCGTCTTAATGTCTGTTCGCTTTAATTTGTTCGCTATTCATACCTGAATGTTTTACGGATGCATGATTAAAACGAGACAGTCGTTCGGTACTCCTTGCGTTCAAAGAGAATTATGGATAATGTCAATTCATGGCCTAAGACTATGAATATGAATTTCTGTGATTAGGTTTTCCGCAAAGAATAATAAGTGATTTCTGAGCCACATTAAAAATTGTTACCAATCACAGTTTAGCAGATTCTGGTAAAAACAATCATGCAAAATAACTATTACATATAACTCATTATTAAATTTTACTTCAAAACATTGTAGAATTCGCTTTATATATATAACATAGATTCACCGATGAGTGTTGATAAATGTTAAGTTTGCCTAGTCCTATAATACTGTTTGATTTCGATAATTTACACTATGTACGGGTTTAAATCTCACTGGGAAGATTACTTTACTCAAGATTGTACGGATGTTTTGTTAATGAATACCTGCTAGCATGAGACCTAGATTGAGTGGGTTTTCCTTCTCACTATCTTCAAGCACTTTAAAGTAATAAATTGAATACTATCTGATCACTTAATCTTTTAAATCAAATTCTATGCTCAATGCACTGAATATATTATAAGTAGAATCAACCCAGTGAATACACTGAACATTGATGTTTCAACTTTATAGGCTTACGTTAGTAAGTTTTTTGATTGAGATCATGAACCGATTGATGCTAGACCACCATTGAAAACCTTGAAGCACTGGACGGCCGTTTTGTCGTATTGTGGAACTCCCCAGCAGTACGCTTCCATGATCGCGCTCGCGGGATTCTAACGCAGGACCTTCAGTCTCACGCACAAACGCTTAACCTCTAGACCACTGAGCTGGCATCCAACGGTGTTAATATCTAACCTCAACCAATACACGAAATTGCTTGACAATCTTCCAAACACTTAATAATCTCCATAACCCTATACTGATAATTACATTAGTAAGTTGTACAAGTTGACTAAAATAAACTTACAGTGAATTAATATTCAAATCTATCAGAAATTTAATCAAAATAACTTCAATACCATAAAATGTAAAAATTATACAATCTTTCTTATATAATACTTTCCGAATATTTAATGTTTAACTGTTGAATGATTAATTTAAACTGATACTGTCTACAAAACAAAATATACTATTTGTAATATTAATACCATGGAGGTTGATCTACCACAAAGGATCTGGTACTTATATTTGTATTTTATTACAATGTAAAACAAATGAAGTTCGTTTGGATATTCGATATTCAATTATCAGAATGTATACATTTAAATAAATTTCAAAATCAATTACTAAAATGTCTACACTGTAAATCAAGAGCGGAATTTAAACCTTTGTACGTTTGTTTTCTGTTAGATGTTATGATCATTAGAATTCATATTTTTTTTATTGTATTCATGATCGATTGATCTTTTTTATGTTACCGATAAAAGCAAGAGGGCAGTGAACAGTTGTTTTATCCTAGTATGCAATTTCTCAACAGTGAATATCAACAATCATGGTAGAGATTTAATTCTACTCTCATTCCTCATGATAGACTTTTAATCATTAAAACTTCTAGGTTGATTTCATGGGTACATACAACTAAGAAGAATCATACTAAAACTGAATAAGTCGAATATCTTCTGAAATGAATCTATTGATGAATATATATTAGTTGTTAAACCGATCTTTATAAAAACCCCTTTCAATGAAATTTATTTTGATTTATTAGTTTAACAAATAAATCGTTTTCATAGGAAACTTAGCCGAAATTGTACAAATGAATTTACATAAAATCGTTATTACTTCAACTAGGAAATATACTAAATACTGTATTTACATTAACTAAAGTGAGCACATGATTCTAAAAGGGGAAATAATATTGTGAAAAGTCATAATTGTTGAAATATAAATACATATCAGCGATAAAAATAGAGTTGAAGAAGGCGGATAAACAAAGAAACCAACCAATAGATGATACTTAGTTATTTGTTGATGCATAAGAAAACTCAGTATTAAAAAAACGAGTAGTGAAAATCGAAGTGTTTTTCAAATTATAATTTGTTATTGTTTCACTGATATTAGCGGAAACGTGAAGAAAGCCATCATCCAGAAGATACAAGTACTTATTAACAGTTGTCTACGCAAAATACTTCAGATCCGTTGGTCAGACACTATTAGCAACAACCTACTATTGAAGAGAACAAACCAGATTCCAGTGGAGGACGAAATCAGGAAGAAGTGCTGGAAGCGGATAGGAAACACATTGAAAAAAGCACCTACCTGCATCACAAGGCAAGCCCTCACTTGGAATCCTCAAGGTCAAAGGAGAAGAGGAAAACCAAAGGACACATTACGCTGAGAGATGGAAACAAACATGAGAAGAATGAACAACAATTAGATAGAACTAGAAAGGAAGGCCCAGGACATAGTGGTTTGGAGAATGCTGGTCGGTGGCTTATGCTCTATTGAGGGTGACAGGCGTAAGGAAGTAAGTTCACTGATAAAGCTTATCGTAACGAGTAAACGTTACAATAAAAATAACATACTCCTATTATTAATAAGGCACTTAAATAATTAAGAACCTAGTCTCTATGCAGAAATAATCAATTTGAATAGAACAATAGTAGAATCGAATGAGTCACATATGAATGAAATTGTTTTAGCTTAAACAGAATAAACCATTAAATTTCCTTCTTTTTAATGACAAAATTATTGTTATTTTGATTGTAATTTCAATATATATATATAACAAAATAATTAACATTCAGGCAAGATAAACACAACGTTTGAATAAAATGTCTTTAATAACAATTGAACATCTAAGACAAATTACAGTCAACTTGAAGCAAACCGATATCTCATTAATTTCTTATATTAACAGGTTCACGTTTAACGCGGTTTATACAAACAAAATGAATGAATGTAAACAAATAATGAACGTGTTGA